GGAAAAAGTTGCATTGTTCTTGTTCGATAACAGCAGCAATCACAATGCATTTGCTGATGATGCATTAGTGGTTTCAAGAATGAACATGAAGGATGGTGGCAAACAATCGCTCCTCCATAATGGCAAAAAGCTTGATGGCTCACCTTATATTATGACATTTACGGATGTTGATGGTATGGTAAAACCTAAAGGTATTCGGCAAGTTCTTGAGGAGTGTAACTTGTGGGTACCGGGTTCGATAAGAAAATGTGATGCATGTACACAACGTAATCCTGATCCAACTAAACTGAACTGTTGTGCAACACATATTCTTTCTGTTCAACCCGACTTTGCATCACAAAAGATGCACCTACAAGAGGTAAGTTGCAATTAGTAAAAATTATTCGTGACAATTTTAACTAATATCTTTTTAGGTTATTGAGATGGCAGGACATATGTGTATGTTTTACCCAAAGTTTCACTGCGAACTTAACTATATCGAGTCGTTCTGGGCAGAGGCAAAGCGGTATTCACGTCTCCACTGCGATTATACATTCAAGGGTCTTAAGGAAGTTGTACCAGATGCATTGGATTCCATTAGTCTAACAAAAATTCGCCAATTTGCATGTCGTTCTGCATGTTATATGAGTGCTTACGAACTTGGACTTTCAGGTAAGGCAGCTGTTTTTGCAGTGAAGCGGTATCGGTCTCATCGTCGGATTCCTATAAATGTTTTGGAAGAATTTGGTGATATCAATTAGTGTAAAATAATAAACGAAAAAAAATAAATACAGTACTATGAGGCTTGGTAATAGAAACAATTTACAGCATAAGATACTATGAAGCTTGATGACATAATAGTTTACTATAGATTCACGTATTTACTCGCTAAAGTAATTTTCGGATTAGCAAACTTTGATTTCATCCTCACATAGCAAGTATGTCATAATAAATTTATTCGGAATTATTTAAAAAACAATAAATTAATCTATTCTTCATTATACTGTATATTACATGTTTGTATGATTATGAAATGTAATGATATTTTTAAATGATTACGAGTATTTTACACATAATAACATTAACCAGGAAATCTCAAGATCGAATTAATCAACCTAAAATGCTTACAAATGGAATGGGGTGAATTATCGAATTAATCAACCTAAAATGCGTACAAATGGAATGGGGTGAATTATCGAATGTTTCGTTTCTCAACATTTTGTATTCGGTGACTTGCTTTCGGTGCGATCGCCGGCCTTCAGCAACACGGAAAAATTGTGATATGATTTTTTGGAAAATGGTTTGGTTTTGTGGTTCGTTGAATTTGTGGAGATTTTTTCATTCGGTTGTGTAGCTTTTGAACCCAGTACGTGTCCGTTTTGCTTGTTCTTCTGTAGGTTAGGCACGCCTGTTGAATCTAAAAAGTTCCCGAAATCAGTCGTGGGTGAACGATAAAAAAAAAACAAAAAACACAAAAAACAAACCCAAGCATTGGTCAATCTGTTCTTTGGTTAAACCGCACAACAATCCTAGGTCACGAACGGTCTTCCCAGATTTATCCTTTAATTCGGCGTTCGCTCCCGCCGCAACTAGAATTTGACAAACATTAATGTGCTTCTGGCTAATTGCTTCATGCA